TGGATGTATGAATGTAATTATCATTCTCAGAGTATTCCATTCCGATGTCTCTGGTTTTATCCTTCATTTATAACCCCAAACGGAAGCTTATGTATCCCATCCAAAGTCTTATTTTGTATGGAGGTAATTTTCGAGGAATAAATGAGTGGTTTAATAAAGAGGCTCGACCAGAGATGTCTGAAACAATTTAATTGAAAAGAAAATAGTCTTTCGAAGCGAACGATGTCATTTTAAAGTAGGTTAATGATTGATATATTAACAAAATACGAGCTTGAAGCGGGGGTGCCTGAAATTGAGTTAGGTACCTTGTGGTAAAAATAAGCATAGGGTACCCCGTATACGAAACAAGTGCTTGTGGTTTCAGCTAACACATGCTTCTCATGACCATCGTTGCTTACATGTAGTTACCTAGGTAATACATGCGTTCAAGCAGAAATGCGTTGCAGTATAATTTAAAACTATGCCGATTAAAAAAACATTATTAATACGAGAGAGAGAGAGAGAGAGAGATTTACTGAACATTACCTAAACGTTTCAGAATATTTTAAATATTTAACTTTTCCATATATCGATCAAACATCAGAATACCTTTTTTTTTTTTAAACAATATTTTATTCACAGATGTAAGAGTGAATAGGATTGGGCAGCAGGCTCAGCCTATTTTAGCCCTCTCCCTACATCAAGGTCAAGGCAAATACACAGTAAATTAATTATTAAAGCAAAAGTAAGAATGTACAAAAGAAGAAAGCAAAAACAAAAATGAACAAAGTTACAGAAGGCAAAAGAAGCAAAATTGCAAAAGGAAAGAAAAAAGAAAATAAAAAAAATAATAATATATATATATATATATATATATATATAAAAAAAAAAAAAAAAAAAAAAAAAAAAAAAAAGATAAGCAAGAGTACAAATTAGTACCGGTTTGGAAAAATTGAAAATATTACAATATACCACATATGTATATGACAGTGTTTATATAAATCGCTTTGTTGCTGCTATAAATGTATGTACAGCTTCAAATATTTGTATATTAATATCAAGTCCATGATTAGAACTACCATTTAACAATAAATCACATTCAGATATATAGTCACAATTTATAATATTATGTATTGATTGAAAAAGTACATTTCTTGGAATTGTATATCTTGGACATACAAAAAAGTAATGGTAGGCATCTTCAATACTGCCAGCACAATGTTCACACATTGGAGTTTCTGCTAAACATTGATTATATAAATCTGCCATCAAATTACTGGCATTATTCCTTATCTGACAATGTATTATATTATATTTTCTTACTCCAAAATGAAAAAGTTCATTACTTTTTCTACAAAAATAGGATTTTAAGAGACTCTTAAATGAACATATTCCAGGAGCATTTTTAATATAATCTGGCAAGATATTCCATTGTTTGACTGTAGAGGGAAGAAAACTTTCCATATAAGATGTTGTTCTAATATTAGGAATTTTGAATTGTACAACATTGGTTCTGAGATTATAAGAATGAATTGATGGGCGATAGGGTTCAATCAAATCATACAAATATTGAGGGGAATAACCATTAATAATTTTATAAAACAATATAAGCTTATGAATTTTTCTCCTTGTTTTTAGAAGATCCCATCCTAGTTCATCATACAATTTTGAACGAGAAGAGTTACATCTTAATCCAGTGATAATTCTGCCTGCTTCAACTTGTATGTCTTCTAAAAGTTTAGAATCTTTTTCAGAACAATTGTCCCAAACAACATCAGAATACTCCATTACAGGTCGAATAAATGCAAAATATATTTTAACAAGTGTTTTACGTGTAACCTTGTACTTAAGCATACCTTTGAAAAACAAGCCTACACTAAACTTCATCAAAGAAAATCTTCGGTAGTAGTTATATTGTATATATATATTTTTTTAATACAATAACTATTTATACTCAAAACCTGCAATATAGACCGAGAAAAAAGCAGTGATAGGTGTTATACTGTCGTACAGGTAAAAAGATGTGCATGTCCACGGTAAGTCACACCGTCGCGGTCTATACCTGGCTACATATAGGACCGCGATGAAATAACCGCGGGGGTGTATCGCGGGAAGGATTAACACACCGCGGGGGAGCGCAGTTTAATGCATAATCCGCGTTGCCCGTACTGTACTTAAGAGTTGAGATAATTATAAATACTCATTTAAAATCGGGATTGTTTGAAGGTGAAGATCTCATTAAGTAATTAGTAATTACCTAAATCTCAGGACTGATACAATATTTATAAGTTTAATTTTATTTTTCTTTGAAAAGGGTTAAATTCTGGTCAACTCTTCAAGTTACTCTTTTCTCTCAAAAATGGATTTCCCAAAATTATTGTACTTTTTAATGATAATATGTTGATGTAAATAAATGGTCTGTAATAATTTCGAAACACTCCCTTGTCCTTGTATAAATAATTCTTGACAGATTCTGATGAAGTAAATAAGTGGGACATACTGGCATTACATTTCTACATAGATGGTATTCACTGTTCAGATAGGGTCTCGCTTTCATCATCAATTAGTGTGTTATCTAAAACAGTGACAGTTTATTCTATGTTTTAATCAAATTTAACTGCTACATAAATAATAATGACCACCATTGCTTCCAACTCATAATTGGAATGGTAAAACCCCTGAACTAAATTTTTTATCTATAACTATCTGTCACATCTTTGTTATGTCTGCTTTTTATATGCTTTTGAAGCACAAAGCTGTACAATGTATGTTAATAAAATATCACAAGGTTGTTTGATTTTTTGCAAATTCGTTCACATAGTTACTTCCATGGTTTAACGTAGTTCCATGTAATTCATATTAGAACAAGATTAGTCAATATTTTTTCTCTCCTTTACTTTAGATTTGCAACTGTCAACTTAATTTTTTAGCATGTGACTTAATAAAAAGATTATCAGTTCATATACATGTACATTTACTTAAATTAGAATTAAATAATATACTGTGATATGCACATTGTTTATTGACGACTCGCATTTTTATCAATTTGGAAGTAGATGGAGAGGAATGGACTATGATTCCAGCTTAGGGAAGATTCTGGCCTTTCATTTAGAAAATATATCTATGAGCTAATGTAATATAATGGAGCTTTCATTGTCAATTAGTGTTACCTAAAACTGTGATAGTTTATTCAATGATTAATAAAGATAAACTGCTACAAAAACAATAAGCACTTAAAGGCAGAGATTTTTTACCGGATGGTAAATTCCAGGAGAGGGAGAGGCTTATTTTGTACAGATGTGAATGCCTTGAGGGCTAGCAGTCTACCTGTGATCATTTGTCTCCCAATTCCTGTACACAGGAAGTGATTTAATACACAGTAGAATACCCAAGAAGTCAAACTTTACCTGTGTTGGGATTTTGAGATGATTTTAAATTAGAATAAAAAGTTGTAAATAAAGTTTAATCTCAATAATTTTTATTAATTTGTAATTGAATGTGTGTCAAAGCATTCCCACCCATTAAAAAAATATCATTATTGAACGTATTTGTTGAGCTTTGAAAAAAAGGTTATACCTAACTTTGATATATATATATATATATATATATATATATATATATATATATATATATATATATATATATATATATATATATATATATATATATATATTACCATAAAGGATATCATAATTATTTCAAATACTAAAGGTGTGTGTATATTATCAAGCTAAAAATTCCATAGTAATACAGATTCTCTATTGTTTATACCATGTGTGGTAAATATCAAAGGATCAAAAGTTAATTTGAAGGTCACCACGAGTGCCAAAGAAGGTTACAGGGTATACACAGGGACTAGTAAGTAAATGTCAATCAAGTTCTAGCACCCAATAATTTACCTTCATACACTTGATTGACTGGGGTACATAGACCAGGTATTTTTGAAGGAGGTGCTTAAAATCTCTGCCTTTAAGTATTTTACATGTACATTGCTGAAGCATCTGTCTGTTAGAATTATTAACTCTTTGACCACATATTGCCAAACACTTTAGGTTAGTAGTTGCAGACACTTATCAGAGAAATTTAATTGTAGTTACAAGAAGTGAAGCAGCTACAATCATACAAATATATTAAAGGCTTTCATACTAATGCAATTTCTTGAACTTCTTTTTCCATTCATGTTTTAAAAAATAATTGATACCAAACTCCACTCCAAAACGCCACTCCAAGACTCCAGTCCATGAATTACACAGTGCCCTATCTTTTTTTCACCTATATTCATAAAATAACTTTCATAAAATAACTTTGTTATTAATTTTATATATAGAATATAAATTATAAAGTAAAAATCAACTCAGTTATGCATAAAATTTATTTGAATTCACTAAATAAACCTCGAGTTCTGTAGGGATTTCTGTTTAGTAGGACCGCCACAAACAGTGGGGGGATACTAGTTTTACCGATTGCCATAGGATATTTGTCATTTGTTTGGTAAGGGCGAAGACTATGTTCTTTTAGAGTTGTTTAATTAGAACAATTGTTTTCACAACTCTTGACAAAATATAACGAGAAATTATTTATATTTGCAACTTTTTAATCTATAAAATGTAATTTTAGGACAAGTTATCTCTTCTTGGCCAACGAATTTAAAACTGTGCAGGATAAAACTAGTTACACAGGATACAATTGTGATATTTTAGTCTGGTTAAAGAATCACCCGCGCCGTTACATGCGTGGATTTGAGTAACTTCTTAATTAAGGTGTTTTTATACATGTAATAGAAAACAAGGAGGGTGCCCCTTTGTTTTGTTTAGTACTACCCGAAACCCCCTTCGCTCCTGCCTGGGTCACGAACGTTGACAGGTTTGGTATATCTGGGCATCAGTTTGCAGTTTGCAGTTTAATCTGTAGTATTTAATAGAGTAAATTTTTAGATGGTAATTGATTTCATTGTTATAAATTAACTGTTTAGAAATTAAAGTTTTTTTTTAAATAAATCTTTTTTTAGGCTAATTATTTTATTTTATTTTTAGGTGAATTAGCTGAATATATCCTAGTATCCAATATGGAAGGAACAATTTTATTGATTCTTAGTTTGCTGAAAAGTTATTCATTCACAGGTATTTATGTAAATGACATAATTCTAAGTACACCACCCTGGTGTGTATTATTAAAATTTTGAAAGTGCACAGAAAGTATAGCTAGCTACAGTCAATGTACAAAATTAAGCAGGTCCAGCACAATCTCTTGATTTAGCTATAACATGTAGTTAGAGTAATCTGCCTTTAGACTTAAAATAAAATAAATTGAAAGGAGATGGGTGAACATGACGAGCGATAAGCCTATAGTGTGACAAACATGATGATGAAATATTAAATTTCAATTATATCAAAATTTTCCTTGATATTTCGTCTAACATTAAAATATACTTCATGTAAAATCTCTACAATTTGCAAAAATCCCTCAAAGATTGAAATTATTTGCCTGTGAAATATTAGACACACATTAAAGCGGGCAAAAAGAGTCATTTTCGCATACTATAACACTATTTTCGATATGAGTGGGTCTTCTCTCCACCTTTTTGAAAGTTAATCCTCAAAGTTGCATAAAAATATACAATTTTAGCTCACCTCAACAAAGTTGGGGGAGCTTATGTAATACCCTCGGCGTTGGCGTTGGTGTCGGCGTCCGCGTCCCATGTTAAAGTTTTTGGAGCAGTTTTCTTTTCAAGTACTTCTATGACCTATTTCAATCAGAGATGCATGGAGGATGCTTTTAGTGTGTTTCAGTGTACCAGTCAAGGTTTCAGATGCTGCAATTTCAGCTTTTTTGGAGCAGGTCTCATTTCCAAGTAACTATAGGCCCTATATTGACCAAACTTGCATGGATGATATGTCTAAGGATGCACACTACTGGACTTGCTTCAGATGCTGGATCTGACCTACATTTTCTGGATGAGTGACCAGGAGATACATGGAGGATGCTTTTAGTGTGTTTCAATGTACCAGTCAAGGTTTCAGATGCTGCAATTTCAGCTAAAGAATGACCAGGTTAATGTTTTTGGAGCAGGTTAAGGTTTTTGGTGCAGGTTAAAGTTTTTGGAGCGGGTCTCATTTCAGCTAAATTGCTAGGGTTCGAATCCCACAAATACCACATTAATTTTTTAAATAAAAAATAAATTTTGCCAAGAAAATTTTCCTCAGAAAAGTTTTGTTTATCACAATTTCATAAATTTCAATAATGAGAACTTTACTCTAAATATTAAATTCACAAATTGAACATGATTTTTATATTTCTGAAGCTATAGGCTTTCTGCATGCTATGTTCGCCCATCTCCTTTACAGTTTATCAGTCAATTTCTAATAATTCAAGCATTCTTGACATTTTGATAGGCCAAGATGAATTAATTGAAAACATCATCTGCATGCTTTTTCCACACTTGTTAAACAACAGTGATTTCTGTTCATCAAAACTTTGTTGACTTTGAACAATTTTCCTGGGGGTAAAAGCCAGGCACCCTATGTTGAAAATGATATAAATAAGCTCAATATTTACACCTTTATACAATATAATTTTCTCAATGTCCAAAAAACATTTTCGTTTAGTGTAGAGAGGGTACTTAAGGAGACACAATTTGATGAGTGATTTTTACATGCATTATTTTCAGAAGAGTTCAAGGTTGAATATTATCACTGCACCATTGTGCGACTTTTTGTACTGCTGAGAAAATAACACATTTAAAGGTGCTTGGACACAGATTAAAAGTTAATATTTTCTCAATTTTTCTGTATAATTTCATGACGTATATGTTGCTATAGCATTTCATACTAAAATATAATAAAAATCTTATTTCATCTCGAAGTTATTAAAACTTCGAATTTTTGGACGCGTTGGATTGACACTTCCTTGCGCTTTCACATATTTTAATTTTATTCTTAATACTTAAGAAAAGTGACAATTTTGTTGGGTATTAATGAAAAATATTAAAACTATAACCAAGAAAATTCAGAGTAGAAATGTTCGAAAGCAAAACCCACTCACAGTATTGTAAGTCAGTGCTCAGTGGTGTGTGCAGAGTTTAACTATTGAACACACCCGGTGAATCGTAAACATTAACAATAACAGAGCTTGTGCCCTGTTTACAGAAACAGTTTACATTTCATGGGTGTTTTCAATTTGTTAAACTCTGTACACATCACAGAGCACGGACTGACAATACTGGTGAGTTGGGAAGGCCATAAAGGTCAATGGGACTATGGTGCAACTGTCAAAGTTTTAAATGGGCCATTTTGAAAATGAATGGGCCATCTATATATTCTGATGGGCCATTTCAAGAAAAAACTAAATGATAAACAAATGTGAAATAGGAAACACATTTCTTTATTAACCAAATCTAATTTTTCATGTATGGAGTGTAGCACATTTAATGGAACCCGCAAACAATATAATTTTCTCATATTTTGGATCAGTAATGTCAAAATCACAATTAAACATGGGAAATGAATGCTGTAATGTACCTTTTATGTCCTAAATAAAGCGCTTCATATAACAGGAAGCAGTTTTTGCAGAGTTTTAACCAATGAGATTTGTTGTATTAAAATGACTGCATTTAAAACGAAAATAAAACAAGCAAGAAAGTTGTACGCAATATATTTCCAACTAACATCGCTAAAATTTGAATGCGCACCTTGGCGCCACCAATGGTTGATTTAATGGGCAATTTTCACTTCAGTGTGACTATGGCACTTGGCGCAAGCCCTTCCCAATAACTGGGTTTTGTTTTCGAACATTTCTACTCTGAATTTTCTGGATTATAAATGCAATATTTTTCATTAATACATAACAAAATCGCTTCTTTTTTAAAATATTTAGGATAAGTTAAAATTTGTGTAAGTGCAAAGATGTGTTAATCAAACGTGTCCCAGAATTCGTAGTTCCAATAATTTCCAGATAAAATAAGTTTTTAATTATATTTTCATGTGAAATACTATTGCAATATATAGGTCGTTATATTATGCAGAAAATTTGAGAAAGTATTAAGTTCAAATCTGTGTCTAAACACCTTTAAGAAAAAAGTGTGATAAAACAGCTAAATCAAGCTATTCTGAACAGCTTAATAAAGCTATATAGCTAAATCAAGCTATATACAGTACCGACCAGACACAACCTAACAGAAAGTGAACCCAGAGTGCACCCCGGGTTCACTCTCTGGGTTCGCTTCGGGTTCGCTTGTGGTCCGCTAGTGCTGACCCCGAGCGAACCCGGAGCGCACCCGTAGCGAACCCGCAGCAAACCCAGAGCGGACCCAGAGCGAACGCTGAAAGCGAACCCCAAATTCAGTAGCGGTCCCAGAAAGTGAACGTGCGTTCGGTGTTGCGTAACAGAGCTGTCAATCAGGATTAGCGATTAACTCATCAGCGCATCAACCAGTCAACATGCCGAACAGGTCTGTCAATCAGGATAAGTGATAAAATGCGTTGACCATCAGCGCATCGACCAGTCAACATGCCAGTTTGTAATCTAAACATTGTACGAGCAAAGCGTGTGAATGTACAGTGTAAAAACATTATTAATACGATTTTTAAACATGATTTTATATTTATATATTTTAATTCTCCAAACAACATGCAATATTTACACATCTATTTTCATTATTTTTTATTTTTAAAATCTATTAACAGTCAGGGGTGAGACTGAAATCCGTCATTTCTGAAAAATGATGGATAATCGTCATATTTACTAACTACGTATTTTCGTCATTTTTGTCAATATGACTTACTATCGTCATATTTTCTTTTTCAACGTAATTCTTCTATCCTGGTTACATAAAAGCGAAATTTGAATTCACCGCTGAAAGAAGAGTGTTTACGCAAGTTTCATTTCATCCGGGTCACTAATTACAGCTGACCATGTGGGTTAGAACATCAACATGGAAGGTGAAAGTTATTATTTAGCGGTAAAATGTCGAATTTTGGTAGAACTAATTCGCCACTTTTACATGGCTTTTAGCCCTATAAAAACATATAGTACACCGTCTGGAAGAATACGTTCTTGTAGAGAAAAGTCTCGACAAAAAGTTAAAGTCATAAAAAAGTAGTGCGCCCCGTAAAACAAGCGAGATATTTCAGTGCGCCCAGACCCTCCATTTTGAAAAAAGACGGAATATCGTCATTTTCGTCTTCTTTCCTATTTAATGCAAATAAATAGACAAATAACTCTTCCACTCTTATTTTTGCTTGAGAAATTTGTACTGTCAACATAACCAGTATTGTAGTCAACTGTATTAGAGAAATGAAGTTTGTTTACAATGTTTTTTGTCCTTTTTTCGGTTGGTGGATCTAACATTTTTCAAAGAGTGGTAACTCGGTATTCTAGAAACACTCTAAATTTTTATGACTGTTTTTCGTCATTTTCTTAAAAATGACGAGTTTAAGTCATAATAAAAATTTTATTTTATGACTAAAAATCGTCATTTTAAAAATGATGGATTTCAGTCTCACCCCTGACTGATTAATACATTATATATTTTTATTATCCAGGTAGCATGTTACATGTATAGTTACATATTTATTTTCGTCATATTTTTAAAATCCATTAATATATAAATATACATTGCGTAAATTTATCAGACAATAAGTACTTTAATTCCTAATAGAAAAAAAGATAATAATGGTTATAACATTTGTTACTAAAAAAAAGGAATAAAAAAAAAAACTGGTCTTCGATAAATTATAGAATTTTAATTTATTATCTCAAGATACAGTATAAGAACATGTACATGCTTTAATTTAATTATTATTTTTTTTTTTATATTTTTCAATTTACATGCACATTTTACTTTATCCAGATCAACATCGAAATTATCGATCTTGATAATTGATCATGAAAAAAATTAGATGTACATTGTACCGTATAAATGTGCATTATGTCAATACGTAAATTGGAGAAAAAAAATTTCATTTTTTTTAACTGCTATGATATTTTTTTTAATTAATCTTTTACCAAAATTTAATAAATAGCTTGATTTAAATACATGTATATAGGGAAAGATTATTTTGTTAATTCTAATTATCCTACATGTAGACCTTACATTGTATGTTTTTGAATTTTTGTAACTTCT